ACGGTGGAAGAGCTGCCCCTTTTAAAGTTCATGCCAGGTTTGTGTTGCACGAGGCATGAGGTGGCTTTTCCCCTTCCATCTTTTTGTACTCTGCTGCAGAGCTGGCACCAAGGGCAGGCATGACTGGGCATCTGCTGGGGACAAACAGCCTAGCAGGGGCCGCAGGCAAGAGTTCCCTGGACAGGCCTCTCCTCTTTTCCACTGCAAACCACCGTGGCAGCGAGAAGGAGCAGCAGCTGATGCGACTGCCTATTTCTTGACTGGTTGACTGTAGGGGAAAAACCCTACAGCCAGATTCAGGGCTGGCACTGCTTTTTTTCCCCCTTGGCAGGGATATGTTGGGGGCATGCGGTTTGGGACGATGCACCCTGCAGATCTAAGGCCACCCTGATCATTCTTTTTCACCTCTTCCTGCTATTGAACCTGTGATGATGGAGGGATACTCGAGGCAACACCACAAGGAGACCTTTCCAGGTGGGCCACCTTCTTCATCCATGGGCTGCTTTCTCCATTAGTGGAGACCAAGGTTCACACTATTTGCTTGTATATTTACTTCACTTCTGTATTGCCCAATAGCTGAAGATCCCTGAGCAGCTCACAGAATGATATTAGAAATCATACACTATAAAGACAATAATTTTTAAAAAAAACACATACTGTTGACAAGCTTTTAAAAACAGAATAAAATCCAATCAAAGTAAACCCCACAGTAAAAGCCAGCAGCAGTGCAAGATCTGATGTGCATGAACAAAGTTTTAAAGAGCTGCTAAATGTGCTTCTAAACGAATAAGTCCTGCTGTGACCAATAAGAAGTCAATGAGCAGGTATTTTATTTTGTTTTCTTAAACAGATTTTCTGTGGTACAAAATAATACGGAAGAAATGATAGAAAAACATGAGGTTTTGTAACTGGAGGCTGATGGCATCTGGAACTCCCAGTAAAATTCCATGAATGAGGCAGGATGATGGCATGATAAAAACCTTATCTGGAAGCACCCTAAAAAGTCTGGGAGAATAAAAAGGACTTCGCATGGTGTCAATGCAGGTGTCAGGTGACTTCTCCGTGGAGGACACTCAAGAACTGGGGGGCCACTACTGAAAATGTCCTCTCCTTAGTAGCCATACACCTCATCTCTTTTGGTTGGGATACCCAGACAAGAGCTTCTGACGATGATCTTAGGGTTCAGGCAGGTATATGTAAGAGGTGATGACCCTTTAGGTAGCTTGGCCTCAAGCTGTTTCTCAAATTGTGTTAGCTATGTTTGAGGGAGAACCAGATGACAATAGTAAATAGCTAAGACGCTGGAAGTCGGGTGTACTGGGAAGTAGGGTAATATGGTGACTGCTTTAGGTGACCAAATGCAAGAGGACAGATGAAGGCAGGCAATGTTGTATGGGAAGGCTTTTATGTAGTTAGACTTTCTAAAATGTTGGCTGTAGCACAGAGGAGGGTGCCATTCAGTACTCTGCTTCAGGGAATGAAATGCCTGAGGCCTGCAGAAGATCAAGGGATATGCAACTCTGACTTGTCTCCTTTGCATCACTTCAGAGGCTGTTACTGTGGTAATGCTTGAAGCCTTGCATGGGGATTAGCAGCTTTTAAACTGCTGAACAGGATCTTGCCAGAGCTGGTTGATGGATACACCCAGAAAAGACATCTCCCTTGCATATGGACTCACATAATAGCTTTTCAATCAGGATGTAGACCCCTAAAATGTTACATCAGAATGAATCCCTGTTTTTTTGTTTTCTTTTTGCCAAGAAGCTGGCTGAATCCAAACAATGACTGTGGTGCAGCAACAGCAAGGGGAGCCCTGCTTGCAGCCTTCATGTGGACTGGTGGGTTCTGTGATGCAGTGGTGCCTTCATGTGGAAAAAGAAGGATTTGCAAGATGGAAACAGGGAAAAGGAATTAAAGGGGCAGTGTGGAACTTGTATAGCACTGTTGTGTGCAGTTTGTGATGAAGAAAGAAACTTCTACAACTAATACAACTTCTGATTAACACATCTGGCATTGTGCCACTTAGCAGGATGATAATTCTGGCAAATTCACTTGCCTGCTGAATTGTAGTTAGTCATCGGGATAATTGCATGTTGCCTTGCCAAGCTTAAATATCCCTGCAGGTCTTCCTAAACTATAATACTTAGAATAATGAAGCTCTAATTTAAAAGCATATTTTGGCAATTCACTTTTTTCTAGTTTCTCAGCCATGAGAACTCACCACAGGGATGCCTTTACAATTTCTGCATGATAGCGAAGAGTTTCTAATGCCAAAACTAAGATTCCCATATTCTGTTTCTTAGTGGAAATATTTCTGTTGCTCAGATTTGCTCGATCAATTTCAGTTTGTTTGTTTGTTTTTTAATTTGAAGTGTTTGTGTTTCTGGTGATTTACCTTGCTCAACCACAGTGTTTTTAAAAATCCATCAAAATGCTTCTTCTCTTCCATAGCATTCAGTATACACTTTATTTATCTTCTAGGTTATCATTCATAGCCTTGCACCCTGTTCCATTCTGCCTCTCAGTATGAGATATCCTCCTTATACTCTCAGTGCAACTTATGCATGTTTATACATAAGTCCCATCACGTCCCATTCAAGGGGGCTTAATCCTAGGTAATTGGGTGTAGGGACTTAACAGCAGGATCCTATGTGTGTCTACTTGGAAGTAAGTCCCATTCATTTTAATGGGGCAACTCCACCTAGATAAATATGTATGGTTAGTCTTTATTTTGCAGTTCCCTTCTTTCTCATCCTCAGGACTTTTGACCTCTAGAACTGGAAGTCTACACAAAGACATGGCTGCCACATCCTTAGCAGGATGGTCAAGGGTCAGGGGCCCTGCCACTACTTTCTAGTGCAACCCTTGGCCAATGACAAGGGAGCCTTACTCAGCTCACTGATGTACTCAGCTACAATTAGAGACAGGAGTGAACTAAACGAATAGCCACCTTATAGTCTGCTATAAGTATAGTTTACTCTACCTACCACGATCCTACCTGCCCCTCCAGCACAATTCATCTTGGCTCCTTAACACCACCTGTTACCCTAACGTCTCCCAACAGCTTAATAAGATCTGATTTGTTGCCAGTTTTGGGTTGGTCTTTTGATTTCACAGATTCAAATCTGAGATACAAAATGGCACTCCCTAAGTAATGTTGAAGGAATGTTACGGTCAGGAGCTGTCTCATACATCTTTCGATGAGGGCATTCTGTACTAAATATTCCAGGACCTGAGGCTAAAGCTCCTCTTTAATCTAGTCCTGGCTTTCCCAGCCTGGTGCCTTCCAGATTTGTTGAACCGCAACTCCCATCTTTCCCAGCCAGCATGAAAGGCATCATGTAATTCAGTCCCACATTACAGCTCAAGTTAAGTCTTTTTTCCTCCCCTAAAGACATAGTTAAAAATTGCTGAGAGGTTCTGTAGCAGAAATACTGAATTTGGATGTGAGAAAGCCAAGTGCAACTCCCTGTAAATCTGGGTCATGCTTTAGTCAGTCACGATCTTTCTATGGAATTCACTTTCATGTGATGTAGTGACGGTTACCAGTTTGGATAATTTTAGAAGGAACTTAGACAAATTCATGGAGGAGAAGGCTTTCAGTGGCAATTAGGCCTTATGCTGTCTGTGAAATCGGGGACAGAATGCCTGTGCACAGCACTTCCTAGGGAACTTGGGCAGGAGGGAGCTGGAGCATTCATGTCCTGTTTATGGGATCCTGTGGGCCTCTGGGTGCCCTCTGTGTGAATAGAATGCTGGACCCTTCTGGTCTGACCCAGAAAGGCTTTTCTTATGCTGCTACGCACGCAGGATTCATGGTTCTGCTGCCACAGAATGCTCTAGTTCCTGTAGCTGAAAATGTCCTCCAGTGTTCTAGCATCACAAGCACAGGACTTTCCTAGCTCTGCTAGGAGATACAGCTTTAAAGAGAAGTGTCAGAATGAGGGTGAGACCTCCTTTAGGCAAAGCCTTGTCGTTGAGCTGCACTTCACCTCCAGGAAAACAGTTATGGTGATGGATGGCACAGTGGCATAGTGAGAATTAAGGGTGGGGTGGGCCCTTCAGGACAGGGGCCCTAGATGCAGAGTGGTTTCTGAACTCCCTTATTAGGGATGGTTGCTAGGCAGTAAAGTATGGCAGACATCTTCCTTGATGTCTCACCCTCATTTCCTAGTTGCTTCAGGATTCCAGTTGTTTGCCCCCACTCCCGTTCTTGTAGTCCCAATACCTGTGATGTCCCTTGGATCATAGCACAGCTGTGGGAAGCAAAGAGTTTGGAATAGCTGCATGCCCCCCTTTCCCCTGCCTCTTTTTAGAGGTGAAGATGAAATCGTAAGAAATTGCCATTTTAATCATCCTGACTAGGAAGTAAGTAACTGAACTCAGAGAAAGCCACATTTGGGAGAGACATGTGTTGTGGGGTTGGCCTGTTAAAAGTGGTATACATTTCATTTTAAATAAAATGTGTGATGTGTAACGTTGCTTGTAGGCTTGTTCAAATGCTGCTGTCCTCTATATTGCAGCAAGATGGCGATGGAGAATAAGGAAACAGATGAGTCATTCCAGCAAAGAGGGATAGCCCCAGAGAGCTGCAATAGTTGCAATATATTTAGGCCTGTCTTCCAGATGAGTCAGTTTAAATAACTGTATTACGTTTGTAAAGGACCAAAGTAGATATGATGTGGAAGTGAGACGTGTTGGTGTCCCTGTGTTTAAATTAATACCAGCCACTCCCAGGGGTGTTTTCTGGGAAATCACACACATGCCCCTCCTGTACTCCATGGGTATTATTCGCCCGGAGGAGGAAAGAACAGCATTTTTTCTCTGTGACAAGTTTGCTTGCACTCAGTTTGGGCTGAAAGGAAGTTTAGGTCACATTGGTTTTGTGAATGGCTCATGATGACCTCAGACTAACCTTGGCAATTAGAGGAAACCTCGAGGTTTGGTGGTGGTGCACTTCTGAGTGCCAGTGGCTGGGAAGCACGTGGCAGCAAAGGGAAGCTACTGCCTTGTCCTCACACCTTGCTTGTGAGCTTCCCAGAAATGGCGGCTTCTGGATGGTCTTTGGGGCCGATCCAGCCGGCTTCTTCCTGTGCTCATTTTGCACAGCACTGGACACCTTACAGTGGGAGTGTCACTGTGAAATTTCAGGATCTGAATCTCTTGGTGAACCAGGCACAGGTGTATGTGGAATTTGGAGGGGCAAGCAGTTACTGTCTGCACTTCTTTCCCTGACTGGCGTGTTTCTGGCCAGTGCGGATGTGGCGTGGAATGTGGCTTTGTGTCGCAAGCACACGCTGGACTGTGTTACAAGCACCAGGCGAACCATGAGTAACCAGAGTCCGTCCCCACATCCCCTCATGACTGCACTGTTGTTACTAATTATTATTTGATTTCTATACTGCCCATGGCCAAAGCTCCCTGGGCTGTTTACAGCCAAGTAGATTTCCTTAGTTCGTGAGGCTGTTAACCTCCTGTTGATTGGCTGCGTTTGGTTTAATAATAATTAAATAATTTGGTTTAGTAATAATTAAATAATTTGGTTTAGTAATAATTAAATAATCATTAATTATTTATTTATAATTAAATAAAAATAATAATGATTAAATAATTTGGTTTAGTAATAATTAAATACTAATTATTATTTATTTAATTTCTATACTGCCCATGGCCAAAGTAGATTTCCTTAGTTCGTGAGGCTGTTAACCTCCTGTTGATTGGCTGTGTTTGGTTTTATTGAAGAATAAAACCTTAGTTCATGACCAAATTGGGTCACGAATAGAAATTTCATAAAAATTTTGCCACAGGTCGCGAACTCTGCATTGGGTGACGAGCACGAGCATGCCTGCCTTCCCTGCATGGGCGCGATTGCGGTCATGCTGGGGGCGGGGAGATAGCCCCGTTCATGCTGCGGGGGAGATGGCTGCGATTGCACCCGTGTTCCCTGCCCGAGTGTGCTCACGCCCGTCTCCCCCCACCCCACCCCACGATCACTGGGGTGGGGGGGAGATGGCCACGATCTTTGTCACTTTGCTTCAAATTTTTGTGAGTAAAAAAAATAGTTGCAGAACGGATTTACATTGACCCTTATGGGGAAACTTGACTTGGCTCACGACCAATTTGGGTCACGAACAGAGTCCTGGAATGGATTAAGTTCGTGAGCTGAGGTACCACTGTATACAATCAAACAAAAACATAAATTAATACAATTAATAAATTAAAACCAGTTCAATCAATATAGATGGTTTAAGTAGTGCCATAAGTGCATTGAAAAAGAAAAGTTTTGATCAGGTGCCTAAACCTCTGTGAAGTAGGTGCCTGTCACATCTCCAATGGCAGGCGTTCCACAGTTGGGGTGCTACCACAGAAGAGGTCTTGCAACCTTCCCCTTAACCTCCTTAGGGAGAGCAACCTCTAAGAGGGCCTCCGTTGATTATCTTAAACGATGGGCAGGAATGTATGAAATAAGGCACTCCCTCAGATAATGTGGTCCCAAGCCATTTAGGGCCTTCTATGTCATATTCAAAACCATGAATTTAGTCCAGACTGGAACAGGCAGCCAGTGCAGTTGACAGAGGACAGGTGTAACATGTTCATAAGAATTGGACCTCGTCACAACTGCGCTGCTCTGTTTTGGATCAGTTGAAGAGTCTGGACTGCCTTCAAGGGAAACCCCATGTAAAGTGCATTACAGTAGTCCAGTCTGGAGGCTGTCAGTGTGTGAACAACTGTGGCAAGACTACCCCCATCCAAGTAGGAGCATAGTTGGTAAATCAGCCAGACCTGATATAAGGTGCTTCAGGCAATTGAGTCCACCTGGGCAGCCAGGAAGAGCCTGGGGTCCAGGAGCACCCCCAGACTATGAACCTTGTCCTTTAGGGGGAGTGCAACCTCATCCAGGGCAGGTTTACAATCTCCCATATGAAATGGAGCTTTACTCACCAACAGCACCATCTGCCTGCCTGCTCCATTGCTGTATTTCGCTGCCAGAGACCAGCATGGAGGCTAGCTGTGCCCAGATGCCCCATCTTGCCCTTGGCTGGCATCGCATTCGTGAGAGGCACACCAGGGCTGCCGAGGAGGCCAGGGAGGGAAGAGGCAGCTCAACAGGTGCCAGCTGGGAGTAGGGAGCTGTGCTGGGCAGCTCGCCCTTTTTTCCACAGATGCCACCAAGGGTGGCAGCCTTGGGCAGGGGCCAAAGGCCAGATGCCAAAGGACACTGCCTGTTTGCTCCCTGTTTGGGCTAGGGTCAATCAATCAATCAATCAATCAGCAGGTCTGTCTTATCAGGACTGAGCTTGAGCTTGGGATATGGTGTGTCTTGAACTTTCCTGATATTTTCCTTTTTCCTGTGTATGTAACATTGCCACCAGGAATTTAATTCCAATCTTATTAATTAACCTCTCCCTCGATATTGTGTCCAAGCTATAAGGCTCCTTCATTGGACTCGGTGGTCCTGAGGATGAGACACTGGTATTCAAACAGCCTATGACTATGGGTTAACAATTAACAAAATAAAACTTTATTTGTACAATAAACATATTGATTTCTAGATGTTCGATAACTTATTTCCTTAGTAAATAAAATAGTGTATATGAATAACTTCTGGCTGAGGTATCTCACTCTTTCCCTTCACAAACACTCCTCACTCACACATCCTCCTTTCTCTTCTGACTGTATTTTCTCCAGTCCTTCTATTTACCTTAGTTTAATCCTTTCCTTCTGCACTCAGGTCTTCTATCTCTCACACCCTTGAAACACTTGACAATATTAGGTTTTGACACTCCCTAGTCCTTCCCTTCACTTTTGAATCTTAAATCCCCTTTACAGCACTCAGCAAGATTCTAATGAGAAGGCTGTCTCTGACTGACTAAATTCTGAGTGATAGCATCTGATAGTATCTATTTTATTCTTCTCTCACACACCCTCCAATGTAACCAACCAATGACATTACTCACTCATCTCCCTCTTTTATCTTGCTTGTTCTTCTGAGATTTATCAACATTCAAAGGAACACACGCACAACACTTTAAATCATGATAGGCAGGTTTTCTGAGTGTGGATAACAGCTGCTAGGAATTGGAATCCCAGAAGATAACTTAGTTGCAATAAGAGCTTGGTTGTTCAGCTATAGTTAGAAACCCACTATTATCTTTTAGCTGAATGAAGAGCTGGGTCATTAGGTTCTCTTGGAAAATGAAGAGGCCAGTCTTACAGTATAGCTAAGGTTTTGGCACTTTGCTTTGCTTTTCAGAATGGGGTTTCTTATGTACTACTTCTTGGGTTGTATTAATTGCACTTGTCCCATTTTCATTTGTGCTGCTGTGAGATGAAAAATGGGGTTAAAGGTTTCCAGAGAATGAGGGATAGTGTTATAGAGGTAGTGTGCCTCTGTAAACCACTTGCTAGGGTGGGTATGGTTGTATTCATGGTCTACATATGAGTTTCTCATAGATACATTCACCCTTGGAAGCCCTGAGGTACTGAATCACTGTCCACTCCAGTTCAATATCAGCTGAAGTGGGGGAAATGGAAGACTAAGACTGGAGTACCCTGGAGGATTAGCAAGGTCAGATGGGGATCAGAGCCATTTTGTAGTGTCTTTTCCAGCATATGTGACTGTCTGGACCATGTGTACAGCCAGCCCCTTGGAGTGCGGGCATTCAGCACGAGTGCAGTATGGGGATAACCCCATTCTTTCGCAAACTGCTACATGGCGTGGCCAGTAAATGGAGTATGATCAGAAACTTTCTCTCTGGAATGCCATGCAAGGTAAACATGTCTCTCTTCTTGGCCAGAATGGTGTGGGCTGATTTGCCAGGGGTCTGAAGAACTGCAGGATATTTTGAACAATAGCCTATCAGGGAAGATGAGTGCCCCTTGAGCCCAAAGAGGTCACTTGCACTCTTAACCAGATAGATCAAGAATTTCATGTGGGAAGATGGCTGTCTCTGATGGTTGATATTGTGGTGATCGCCTATTGCGTGATGTGCGCTTTCACTTGTTACTAATAAATGAGAAACCTGGCTTTGGTGTTTGTCCTTTGGACCCCTTGATGTGGTCAATGTAACAGTTTCAGCATCTTCTCCTATGTACCTTATGGGATGACAATCTTTGGATCAATCATGGATCATTTCCCATTGAAATCAGACCCTTCAAAGGGCAGTATGATCTAAATTCCAACTTGATGTGTTTCTGTCTCTAGGGCCATCCAGGAAGGTGAGGTTCTGAAAGACGGATTAGCATAATCTTGCAGCTGGTGAACTGAGTGCTTGCCAATAGGTTCCATTTCTTTAATTTCACAGATGACTTTCCAGCACACCTGACAAAAGGCCTAGAAGCAACAGGGATAAAGGAACTTTGACAAACTTCTTTATTCTTGGACAACAGATACAGCTTTTTGTGCTGACAGACTAATTTGCACTAACCAGTTCCAACTGAACTACTGAGAAAACTACACCTACTAAAGGGGAGTTGCTATTCAAATCCAGACCTATCTCTGAAAGAGACAGGTCGCCTTATTACAAAGATCACTGAGGTCTGATTCAGGAAGGTTCTTATGGTCTTCCATTGATGGGCAAGTTAGGGAAAAGGTCAAGGTGGCAAAGGCTACTCTCTTTTACTATTAATGATTACAATTAATCTTGGGTATAAGCTTGATTCCTGTGACTAATTTGCCTATTATATATTCATGAATGCTCAAAGGTCTTAAGTGGATATGAAGCCCCTGGAAGCCAGTGTTCTGAAAAATTGTCTTTATTGGGAATTGGGCAAGATAGTAAAATTAGTTGTGTACTATTGTAAACTTACATGAGGATCCCTCTAGCAATACAGGGTTCGCAGATGCCTCGTAATGGAAAAAAAGGACCAGAAACTATGCTGTTTGCACATAATCCATCCTCCCCATCTAGATTTGGGCCAGAAAGATCAAAGAAAAGTATGGTTGCATCGAGCGTAAGTTGTAAACAAGCACAATTTGTGACATTGCGCAAGATCATCACTCTTAATTTCCTTACATAGTTTAACATAATTATCTTCTTTCAATGTAGCCCATTTAGCTGTAAGAAAAATTCCCAAATATTTAACCTTTATAACAATTTGGAGGTCTACTTGTTCTGTGAAAGTCATTTTCTACTCCAATGTGAGATTTTTCACTAACAATTTTGTCTTTTCTCTATTAATTTTCATCCTGGTAACTTTGCCATATTCTTCTATCTTTGTTAAAAGTTTAGATGTCGTTACCAAGGGATCCTCTAAGATAAAAACTAGGTCGTCCACGAATGCTTGTAATTTATAAATTTCATCTCTAATTCTGGCACCTTTAATATCCATATTTTCTGTTTTTCTGTTTTCTAACATTTCTGTTTAAAACTTCTAAGATCAATATAATATAAATAACAATAGTGATCCCAAAGATAAAAAGTTAGTTCTTGGTAAGAGTTACATCAAAGCTTTAGTTCCCTTTCCCTTCAATTCTCTTTGTGCCAGGCACAAAGTCTACAGTTACCATGTCACATCTCTTGATAAATAAACCTCTTTGGGTTTTTTGCCTCAAAAAACATTTTTGATTTGCTTTTTGATTACCTTTTGATTAACTCGATTAACTCTTTGACTAACGAAGAGGTGTGGCACATACCTGTGCACAACCAAGCAAAAGCTCAGCTGTTCCACGCATCCTTCCATTTCTGCACACTAACACAGAATGGGTCCAGGACTGAAAAAACCAAGCTGGCCCCTGCATGTCCGCCCATTCACCCAGGCCTCCAGTGGGTGCTCGGAACCTTTGTAATATCCGCCTTGGCATGGTACTGATACAATAGTCGTGCAGTATTTCCATTTTGTGAACATACAGCCACTGCAGTGTACCTGGGCACAACTGTCTAGCCCGGGGAGATTCTGAGGAAGAGTCCTTGTGAGGCAATTGTGAGCGGGAGATTTGAGAGATTGAACGAGACTTGGGAACTGCAGAGGGAGGATCTGAATAGAAAACACCAGCTAGAGAAGAAGGGGGAGGAGTGACCTGCAGCCAAATGCTGTCATACAGCACTAATCCATCAGCTGTTCGGAGGCCAGATTGGCTGGAAGCTTCGCTCCTGTCCCCATCTGTGTATCAGCAGGCAGGGCTGAGAAGAGAGACCTGCTCATATATGAATTGCCCATTTATTGAACTCCATGCCCTCTAATTTTGTTTTATATATCGTTCCTGTTGCTTCTTTTGTTTTCCCCTCTTATAAAAACAATTCAGCAAATATTTTAAATTCAATAGCATTTTAATTCAGTTTTCAAAGTTTCATACTTGCATTTTTAGTATATTTGGAAGCCCCATATGCAGCTGGATTAATTACATTTAGAATGGTAGAATTAGGAACTTTTCCAGAGAGCACCATCTTATGCAAGTCCCAAAGAACATACTAGGATTTATTTCAGTGCAAAGTAACTGAATTGCCCATTTATGGCACTGGCAGAATGACTTGAATTCCCATCTCCCATTCTGTATCTGTCTCTTCTGCTTCTTCCAAGGTAAGGAAGGGCTGCCAGAGGTGCTGCTTCATTGTTGCACCAAATGTGTTTCTAAGTACTTTCTGGAGTTGCACTTGGAAGTAATGAAGGCCGTTTGCCTCATGGCTTATGACTTTGCAGTGATACTCGGGAAGGCAGAATTATCCAAAGTCCTTGTGGAAGGACTAATCGCTGTTTAAAGTGCATGTTAAGGGCCAGTG